ATCTGATCTGATCTGAATTTTTCTGATCTGATCTGATCTGATCTGAATTTTTCTGATCTGATCTGATCTGATCTGAATAAAATAAGAATAAGCAATAAGTAATAAGAATAAGACGAACAGAACAGCACCTAACATGTCAATATTTAATACCATCTTGTAGACGTGACTGCCAAATAGTTGCAGTACGGTACATTTAACATGACAATTTTTATTACGGAGTATATTTAATGACAGTATCTTTCAATCATGACAGTATTTTTCATACATGATAGTAACAACTCCTATTTCGGAAATAAAAATATAGTAGTCCTATTTTGGAATTTCAAACCTCATTTACTCCTATTTAAGGCAATATCCCAAAATCCTATAGGTTGGGAATTGAAAAAAAAGAACTACAACGAAGTAAATACTTGTTATGCGAAATATGTCGAGACTTGTCACTTGTGTTTCAAAACCCTTTTCAAAAATATGTGGAATTGGCACTTCTCTGGTTTCGAATTTATAAGAGCAACCACAACGTTAGGGTCTCTTGTCTTAAAAAACATGCCAATTGTCACATAAATAAAACACTTTCTATTCCATGTAATAAGTTGAGTGGTTGCATATTGGATTACAAAACCGCTTCCATAGTAGACACGTACGTCTCGGCTGTCTCACCTCAAGTATGTGGAATTAATACATACGTAGTACTCCGTATTAAATTAATAGTAAATTTTATTTCATGTCAATATCTTGTGGTCTGATGCTATGTTGTAAAAACCGGACCGGAGAGTGACCCGGCCACATGACTGGGTCACGGGTCAACCCGGACTCGGTGGGTCAACCCGGTCAACGCCAGAAAACCGATCAATGATTATACATCTATATACAGGGGCGGATCCAGGATATTTAATGGTTGGGGGCACAAACTAAGAAAAAACATAATTTTTTTCATAATGAAGTATAAATTAAGTTCACATGATGGAATAATTCAAAATTAACACGCTATAAAGTATTATGAAGTACATTTTATTTCAACGGCTCTCTATATACTCCCTCCGTCCCCAAATGAAGTTGAGCATTGCGTTTCACACATATTAAGGAAAGAAATTTACTGGGGGGTAAATTTTACTGTTTGGGCACTGTTTGGACACTGTTTGCTCACTGTTTGGCACTGTTTGGCATTGTTTGACACTGTTTTGATATAGATAAATTGCCAAATAAGGAAAGGTGAACTTCATTCAGGGACTACCCAAAAAGAAAAGAGTGAACTTGTTTCAGGGACGGAGGGAGTATGAGTTTTATTCTTTGAAAACGACCCATCACAATTTTGTTTCTAACCGTATTAAACATATCTATTTTGACATAACAAATAAGACTCACAAAATTTTTTGTCCTCTTGTATACTACATTTCAACTAATCTCATATTGATCAAATCAATTTCTCATAAATATTTTTAGTGAGGAAGTACTATTTGATACACTAACAATTTAACACTTAACTTTTTCTAGCACCTCCTCTTTTTTGGATGATGGCGCCATTTTTCTTTGTGATTTAAACTATCTTGTTACCATTATTTAATTTGTCCAAATATATTTAATTTCAAAATTTTACGATAAATATTAAAGTGAAAAGCATTTTCTTAAAGCTAAAATTAAATTAGTTATGAGCTAAAAAGAAATAATTATAAAATAACTGAAAAAATAAGTATACTAAGTCTATGTAAACACAACAAAAGCCTATTATCATAGCAATTTAGCACCCTTATAAAAACTGAAATTAATAATTTATAAAATTTAAATTACAATCTAACAGTGGAATAGAAATGAACTAACTTATAAATTTGTTATTAAAATCATAACTAGGAAGTAAAATACGGAGTAGTAAAAAGAAAGAGCACCCACTAGAAATTTATTAACCTGAAATAAAGAGAATCCAAATGTAAAAGTGGATCTCCAAGATAAAAAAAGTACAGATCGAAAATGTTATATATAAACATTGAAGAAAATTTAATTGGCAATCTGTAGATTTACACTCTTATGAGCAAATGACCTCCAGCCATTCACAAATAAACCTTGGGAATACTTAATAGACCATAGCTAATTGTCTTCATGTATTGCTGCTCCCTAAGATATTTTGCCCATTAATTTTCATAATTAAATTATTAAAATAATAAGTTAAAATGATGAGGAGTGGGGAGTTGGGGATTAGAAAATAGGGAGATACTAATCCCTATTTCCGTTCACTAATGTGGTAATACTAATGGAGTAAATTAATGGGGGCCTTTTTTATTTTCAATGGGGGCACCTCCCTTTTTATATAAAATTTAGTAATAAAAATTAAACAAAACTACAAAGTCATTGGGGGCATGTGCCCCCATCGGTTTCCAAATGCATCCGCCCCTGTCTATATAATAATAGTAAACATATAATTATATATAAAATTATAATAAAAATTAGTTATTATTCATAATAATCAACTAACAATACTACTTATTAAACATTTAATACACTCTTATAATATTTCAATGTATATTTTGATCTTATAAAAATATATAATGATATTTTTATTGTACATCTATATTATAATTTGGCATGATGTTCATTCTTAAATAAATATATAAATATATTACGTAGTTTTTCTTTTTAAGGTATTGAAATTGCAATTTTATTGGTATAAAAAATGCATTAAAAATAAAAAAGAAATTACTTTTTTTTTGGTAAAAACACCCAAAAACTGGGTTTTACCGGGTTTTTCGGGTTTCTTGGGTCCGGGTCTTGACCGGGTTTTCCCGGGTCAGCCGAGTTTTTCCGGTTTTTTACCATTTCCGGGTTTTAAAAAAACCGAACCGGTTTTTTGTCCGGGTCACCGGGTTCCGGGTCAACCCGGCCGGGTCGGGTCGGTTTTTTAAACATAGGTCTGATGTCTATTGATCTCCCAAAGGAAGGTCACAGGTTCGAGTCACATCCTAAACAAGGATGTTGGCATCAACATGAGCACATACTTCGTATTATAATAGGGTTTGAAGAATATTCCAAAAAAAGTAAAGTATATTCCATTTTACCCGTTCCTCCTGTTTTTACATAATATAATATTATCTATTTTACGTAAACACATAGAGCATATTTAATGAGGAAATGAATTGTACCCCGCAATAATGTACACATCACGTATATATAGGCTTGGACCAGGTTCGGGCCACCCGGCCCGGGAACCGGCCCAGCCCGCTACTGTGTGGGATGGCCCGGCCCGGTGCTTCGGGCCCCAAACCGGTCCTTGACCCGGTTATGAGGAAAAAAGCGGGACGGGCTCGGGTAGCTAAAATGGAGACCCGGCCCCGGTTCGGGCCAAAATGTTTTTTTTTTTCATTTTTTTTGGGTTCCCCCTGGGTTGGGCTTGATGTTTTGGGGGGGGGGGGGGGGGTGGAGGGTGAGGGGGGTGAGGGGGTAGTTAGGAAAGCAACAAAAAAAAAAAATCGGCTCGAACCGGACCCGGTGGCAACCCGGGCCAGTCCCGGGCCTTCCCCAACCACAAAAGGCCTAGTGGCAACCCGGTGGCACACACATTTAAAATAAGATTTTAATAGAATAGAAAATCTTTAGGAATATTGTTTCCTTTTGTATCTCGAACTCTCTTATTATATATACACATGCCAGGACTCCTATTGGAGTACCTTTCCCCGTTAATTATTCACATGGTATCAAGAGTCTAGAGAAAAACATTTTTTTTTTCTTTTTTTCCCGATCCCCTCTCTCACGTCACAGCCATGTTGAATGATACCTCCACGGCGTTGCCGACTTCCGCCTTCACTACGCCGCCGATCTCAGCCACAACGGACGTAGGTGTCAGCACATCTGAATCCCCCTCCATCGTCATCAATTCCGTGCCTCTAGTTCGAACAGAGCCGGAATTCTCTCGTCCGATTGGCCAGCTCTCCATGCCCCAGCACCAGGGGCGGATCCAGGGGGTCAGGGTGGTCATCCGACCCCGCTGAAAATTAAAGAATTTAGAGCTTTGAAATATCTTCGATTTGATATATTATGGGTCCCGTAACTCATTACGAGTAAAAAGTTATGACTTCTGGAAAAATCAGCACCATCTCAACTTGAAATAAGCAAAATTTGATGTGTGACGTTAATTGTATTCTTAAATTTAAAAATAAAACACCTTATTCAGTCATTAGTTGTGTGAACACTATGATACATTACATATATATCACTACATTAACCGAAAATGTTCATTAAACTACCATCTATCTTAGCTACGCGTGAAACATTTAACTCAAATATTGTATAATAACTATCCATCATTTTGGCCCAGATAGTTTCTCATGAGCTCCAATGGGAAAGTGGGTGTTAATAGTTTATACGGAGTATGAAAGTTGAAATAGGTGTGAATTGTTTATTTTAATTATTTATCTGAGTTATTAGAACAATGGTGCAGTGATAATTTATACGGACTACATTATTGATTATAGCTATACAAGTTTGGTAGAATATCGCACGGAGTATTTGGTGACTCATAATGTTTAACAGGCCTTCTGAAAACAGAGGGTGTATCACAAGGTGTCTATTTTTTATATTTCCAACTCATCATTACCACAAAAATAGACACCCCCAATGTAGAGAATTTTTTTTATCACAATGTCTATTTTGTATAAGTGGCACTGCAATTTTTACCAATCCATATTACCATTAAATTACCATTAAAGATGCTCTTAGAGTATTCAAATGTCACAAAATGCACGGTGCACATGTGATATGACAGAGATAGACACACAAATATTAGTAAGCAAAATATCTCTCTCCTTATTTGAACGATCACATGTTTTGAGTAAATTTTTCTCCACAATGTAAAAAAGAATGTCTAAATGTAGACATTGTTGTTGACATTAATACCAAAATTATATAAAACCGTGAATAAGAAAGAGAAATGTCAATGATTTATTTTTATGTGTCTATCTCTCACACGCCACATGTTCACCGTACACATTGTATATTAGAGATGCTCTTAATCGCTCTTATTTTAATCGTTTCTCCCACTTGTTGTCAAAGTCTGCAAGTTTGGAATTCTGGATGGCTTTCTACGCTCAAACGTAGGGCTTCACAGTAGTTTTTTTTGCCATATCAACAAATGACTACAAGTATTGGCGGGATAAATTCAAAGACAATGTCTAATTTTAATGATTTGGCACCCTAAACATAGACTAGAAAGGCAGCGTTAGGGTTGCTCTAAGGCCATTACAAATCAAAATCCTTCATCACTCTCTACGCTGAATGAAGAACTCTTTGGAACTTTCAATCCTTCCCCGTTCCCCCTCTACAATAAGAGAAATAACTTGTACCTATCAGGCTATATATAATTCATTCCTCAGCTTCACCATTATCTGAGTCTGCATTATCTGAGGATTCTTCTCTTTCTCTTGCTTCTACACCCGCAGCTGGTTGGCTCTTTTTCTCTTTCTTCCTTTGTTTCTTCTTCTGTCGTTTGAGACGTTTCTTTGCAGTGCGCTCTTCAGCAGCCTTCAACCGTTCATCTTTTCTTTTGTTGAATTCAGACACTTCCTTCCTTTTCTGGTAATCAGCATCCATCCTTGCAAGCCGGTCTTGTTCTTTTCGTCTCATTTGTCGATACTACAACCAGAGAATACCCATCAGATGATCAGAACTCACATTACTCACATTACTGAAACCTCAAGTCAAACCAACTAATCAAGTTAGTGGAGTGGATTATGAGACAGAAAAAATAACGTGGATTATTTTAATTTATACTCTCTTATTGGTTAGAAGACACGCCATGGTTACATACTAAAATTTTAACACCTCCTCCCCCACTCCCCCTACCGGTGCACATACAAATAAATGCACTAAAGAATATGAATGCCCAACATAGAGCTTATAATCCCAATTTTATGAATGAAAATTTGTTCACTCCAGTCTCTTAACAAGTTGATACAATACATGCATACCAATAACAGAGTCATAGAGAATTGGAGCACCCAAAACCTGCCTAGCACAAACACAACCCCAAATTGCAAAACGTAAAAACAATGAAAAAAAAACTAACACCATAGCAACACAAGCACACAAACAAAACTATAGACAAACAAGCAAAGGAGGGGGGGACAATACTCTTTCCGTCCCGCTACATCCCATTTTCATTTTAGCCCATCCCAAAATATTTGTCCCATACCATAATTGGTCACATTTTTCCCCATCATTTGCAATGGAGCCAAAGACTCACTATTTCTTTGCTTGAAAATATGATGAAAGCAAAAGAAAAAATGGGTCACTAAACTGTTTGTGCTTCTTTGCTATGAAGCACCAATCGATCCATGCAATTTTCGACGTGAATGTCATTATGGGTCATCCGAAAACAGTCTCTTTGTGCTTTAGTACAGCGGCAAGACTATGTACATCTAACCCCCCTTGTCCCACGGTAGGTGGGAGCCTTGTGGCACTAAGGTAATGATGATGACGATCATTATTGATCATATTTATAAGGCTAAAAAATTCAAAATATATCGTACTTTAAGAGTTCAATATCAATCATACAATCACGCCTTTGCTTAACTAGAGTGTCAATCCTCTTGTCCCGTACGTATGAGGGAATACTATGTTACATACACAAACAAAATACAACCACTTTACACCGTTCACATTTGCAGTAGCTAATGGTTGGATTGGTTCGGCACATCCTAGACGTAGTACAACTTTGCTTGAAACTACTCGTATAACATTAGACAAGTCTGGTGATCTTCTGCTATCAAAAAACATATACGGAGTATAAGATAGAAAGAGGTACATGATATTTTGCATTTCACTGAAATCCCGAGTTCTATACTTCCAACATGGCAAAGTCAAAAGTTGAATTTTCAGAAGCACCTCACAGTGCACTAACACTATCCTAATCACCACTCAATATGACTGGAAACATTGCGCACCCCATTAAGCATCACTAAAACAAGCAACAAGGTAGTTCTTTACCTAAAAGTCTACTCTGTAAGAGTGTGATTGTTGTGGACTTGTGGTGGGGGAAGGGAGCTTCTTTTTATTTCTAAAATAAGGGAGCTACACTGCCTGCATCACACAAAAAGACTCATGTCTGATCAAAGTACAACTTTTATTTTGTTAAGGTGCAACTGCTATAAATCATTAGTCTAGTCCTACTTATGCTTTTTAGACAATGTATCGGTTTAGCTAAACTTGTAATATGTAACTTTGATGTCAATCTTATTTGTCAACTTCCTTGAAAATTAGCTCCATTTGATGAAACAGAGCTCCTTTATGAGATGGAGGCGAGTGTTTAAAACAACACCATTTTAATATGATGGAGGAAATGTAACATTTATGGTAATAATTAACAAGTAAATGAGTAGGACGTTGAGTCTAAGTGAAATTATCATATCTTGATAAACTATAAAGATAAAACACTAATTTTGTTAAATGTAAAATGGACTCTTCCCCTCCCTTGAGCCTAGAAAACCCTATCCCAGGCATACTCTAAGGATCACTTACCACCAATTCACCAAAGATCTCATTCTTGAAACCCCTCTTCTCTTAAAGTTTAAGGGTCTTTTAAGATTTCATTTACCTATAACACTAGACATCTAAATTTGCTAGGAGAAAAGTATCAAGATTACATAGGCTCAAACAGCTTAAACAAGAAAATTAAAGATAAACTACTCTGAAAAAATCAATTTCTTATTAATCAAAGGGTCCAAGATGCAAATCATTCAGGATACAAGAAATTAAACAAGGTTGGTAAAGTAGGAAAGAAATGGAAAGCCGTTATGAGATCTGAGACATTTTAAAAAAGGTCAGATACTCAGATATACATCTCATAACAGTTCACATGTCTGAACCTAGAACAATGCCATCCTACTAATACTCTAGAATCAAAGGTTGAGAGCTTATCTGTTAATTACCTGATGAAAGTCGCCAGAACCAGAACCCGCAGAGCTACCAGAAGTATTGCTAACACGGACAGGGACACAATCAAGAATACGCCGGAGCTTAACCTCAAGGTCCTCCTCTTCAGGGTTAGGCGTTGGTGGTGTGTATTCGACTAAAGCACTGGAGGAAGACGTTGGAGGTCGAGGAGGAAGTATAGCTACTTTCCTCTCTGCCACAGGAACCACCTGCATGTCTCCAGCAGCCGCACCCCGACCAGATGATGCCATCTCCGAGATACTTAAACTGCACTATAAGGCAATTGGAAGTTTAGCACTGTCGTGATATCTCCACACGGATAAATTATTTGCGAGTAGATCCTGGCTATACCGCTCTCTATCTCTCCCTCCGATAACAATAGGGCTACACCGAGTTGTCTGTAAATGCTGCTAGAAACTACACTTTAGGATCACATCAGCAATCACAAATGTAGCTGGAAAGAAGTAACAAAAACAGTTAGTTGATATTTAAAGTCTTTACTAACACTAGGAAAATCAAATACAAAGGGGAAGTCGACCAGGAATTTAGGTCCATTTAATACTCTTTTGTATGATAGATTGTCTTTTCCTGAATTTAATTTCTTGAAAAAAAAGTAACATGTTTTACATCGAAACTTTATTGAACCATATTCAAATTGTATGATTATGATGACAATAAGGCCTGTTGATAAGGCATTACAGTACACATGCTATTAAGCCTCAGTCAAGAATTTTAGCAAACAGTTTGTATGCGACACAAGTATATAAGAAACTGAAAACAGGTAACCTAGATGTATATATAAATATTAAAGTAAGCACAAATATATAATTCTACTACTACACAATCCAATTAGCGAAAAAGGCAAAAATAAATGATTGTCATAGTGGCAGACAAGATGGATTGGGTAGGAGAAGAAAATTGAACGGGAGAAGAGGAGAAGAATTACCTGGTGTGGTGGGTAGTCGAGCAGGGAAGGAATCAGAAAGATGAGGGCAAACTGATAGCTTCCAAAATACCAAAAGTTTGATTTTTTTCACTCATACTCCGTAATAAAAACTTGTAAATTGTAATGCCAGTATATACTGCTTTATATAGGTGATACCGTGATAGGTTTGAAACTATCCCCAATATCAATAATATTCATATTCAATACTGCGTACTCCTTTGTCCTTAAATAAACTTCCAACTTTCCTTTTCTGTCCGTCCCAATTAAAACTTTCACTTTTCTTTTTTGGCAAAGAATTTGTGGTTCACAACAATTCTTACACATTTCTTTCTCCTTTGCACAACTTTCCACCACACAATACCCACTATCTTAAACTGTGTGTCAAATCTATTTAGAAGATAAATTAGGGACGGAGGGAGTATTAAGTATTATAACAGCTCAGAAAGATAATTGTTTAAGAAAAATATATACGAAAGCTGATTGGTTAAAAAAATATGAAAATTAATTATTCTTCGACAAAATACAAAAGTTGATTATTCTTGGACAAAAATTTTAGAAATTTATACTCTGTCATTTTATTTGTGTGGTAAATGCACATGCATCACTTTAATATACAATTTCATTAAACTTAAATTTATTGGTCTAATCTAATAAATGTATTATGTATGATGTATGTATTTTATTTTATAATTTATAACTATCAAATTTTGATTTAGTCTGGTATAGTCTAGTCAAGTCTAAAACTGTAAACCGTTCAAGTAAAAACACCTTAATGACTTTGGTAATAAAATTGATTGTGTTAGTTTTTCTATGTTTATGTTTTTACTTTTAAATAATCTTTACAGTGTGTTGTTATAGTAATTGTACATTTACAGTGCCACTTTTTATTTCTATAGTTTATTGTAATTTAGTAACTTTAGAATGATCCTGAGCAAGAGTCAATTAAGACAAACAAAAACATGAAATTGATGATAAAAGATTAAAAAAAGGTGCAGCAAAATGTCATACAAGAAATGTGATTTGGTGTCACACTCGTTCGGGTATAATCAATATCCGATCGAGTAAGACTCGACTAGGAGATCTTACAAGATCAAACAAAGCAAGAGGACGTGAGAAAATCTGATTTGATATGAAACTCGGTCGGGTTGGAGCAAAACCAAGTCGGGTTTGATGTAATTTCATTACTTTCCGGGCTATTGCTATAGACATCAGATCGGGTATCCTCTATACCTGATCGAACATCATACCTAACCACCTCATAACACCATTACATACACCCCTTTCCTACCAATTTGGATATCAAATGTTCAATATACTTAAACTCAATTAGAATAGTATTTTCCTTTATATTTCTTTCATGTTTAGCTTCCAAATGAGGATAAAAACTACTCTTCATTCTTGATTTTGCTCTTGAAGTTCGTTAAATATTAATTTTTCCCATTGCTTATCTCTATATTAATATTGAGGTGTTACTAAGTGACGATTAGTTAACGTTATGACATTAATTACTACTAGAAATGATCAATGAACAACTGGCAGTTAATCATTGATGGTTTTGCAAGTAAGTAATTTCGAGTTATTAATGCATAGTCTAATGATCAGTAATCTTAAAAGATATTAATTGTCTTGGTTGAACCAAAACCAATGTGTTTAGATTCATTAATCAATCTCAATTGACTTCATCAAGTAGTTAGACTAAATGTTACTATCAAGTCGGTATATGACGATGTATTATACTTGGCTAATAGTAACAATTGATAATGAATAGTCTCTTTATTAATATCCATACTCGATTAATTAGAGATACTCTACGATCGAGTGTTCGAGAGGATCAAGATCAACAAACATCTCACCAGTAAAAAGTAACAAAACCAAATCTTTTATATCATTGATTTCAATCACATATTTTGTTCATCTTAGTGTGTAAATATTATCATGCCAAAATAACATTAAATCCCCTCCTTTGTTACAATTTACAAAGAAAAATTATATTTCCCCGTGGATACGAACCTTATTACGTTATACTATGGTATTAAAACTAGTATTGATTTTATTTTAAAACACACGACTTTAATGTCATAAAAAATCATTGTACGTTTCTGCGCATGAAGTTATGAAATTGTCGTTTTTTGTGTTAATTACATGTCATTTTAAACTCACATTTTAATATACAATGTGTACACAATATCAAAAAATGTTTTTTTTAACAAAATGTTCAAAATTATGCCATAAGGGTAAATTTAATATTTATGAATTTGAAATACTAATCTATAAAGGGATTAAAATTAATTTTGTGGTATAAAATTGAATTGTAAAGCTTTTATCATAAAATAAATTATTATTTTTACCCATTTTTATAAAAAACTAATTATTATACTCCTATTAACAAAAAATGATTTTAATTCATGTTTTTCCATTTTCTCAAACCATATTTACATATTAAAATCAATAAGGGCTAATTTATTCCTTGATACATGAGACATGATAGGAACATTATGTGTATTTTTACACCCTTCAAAACGTCAAGAGTAAATTTGCACCTGCATGGCTGCACCTTATATTAAGGGTGTATTTTGACATTTTCCGTATGCCGAATGGTCAACAACATTCATAAAAATAAGACGATCTTAATTCCACCGTCTTGGCAAATGAAAAAAATACAGAATTACAACAGTGAAACTTACAAAGCAAATCCAGGACGCACCTTCTTTAAAAATAAAGGTATACGGCCTTCCAATACGACAATGGTTAATGCAATTACCAAAAAAACAGAGGATGGTTGTTACAGCATATATTGTTTCATAGGAAACATATGTTGGGCCAGTTGGGGCATAAATAATGCTATTTTGAGGATGGGTGGCAACCTCATCATCATCATCATCATCAGTCATATATAGGAGCATGTTTTTGGCGGCAATGGAGAAACTTTGGGCAGTTCACCAGAGCACATTGGAGTTTTCGGAAGTTTATAAACATCTCCAGCTTGTCGGGGTGGTTCAAGTCCGCTGATTTCTCGCATGATCTGAGCTTTGTCAGACTCAAAAACTTCATCTTCTGCATACAGACAAAAGAGAAGCAGTGGAAAAAGATTCAGTGCAGCGTTCCAAAACATGCATTGAATCGGTCAAAAAACACGGTGACAATTCTAAAAATGTCGTAAAATTGCAGCACCCGAAGTAAAAGTAAAGGTTTCACATTTCTCAGGTTAAACAACATGTTCTCACTTCTCACCTTTATCCATCCTCAAACCAGCAAAGAGTCGGAGGAGCTTTTCTTTGTTGTTAGCAAGAACACTGGTGACACCCGGGGGTCTATTTGTATTTGCCACAAAAAGCTGGAATCGGTTAAAAAAAACACGTGTGAACAAAACGGGATCATAAAGATGAAAAGAAAAGAAAAAGGATAAAAGTTCATGCACTCGTGCACATTTAGAGGTTTTAAGATTCTGTTTAGTCATGTCTTTTAGACAGACCTTGAACACATGAAATGCATCTAACTGGATTGGCTTGCTTGACTCCTGCAGCACAGAACAAACATTGATATGTTGGGCAAGTTCCTTGATGCAATTTGCGACGTGTGTGTGTGTATCCATATTCATAAGATGTTTTTCTTGTCTCAACTTACCCTCAAAAGATTCATTAGAATGATCAAATTATCCAATGTGCTCACATAGCGTACCATCACACAAGAATTTGAACGATCAAGCAAAATGTCACCCAAAAGCTGGTAATAAGAAAAGGGAGGCAGCATCAGTACTCAACAAAGAGGTCAAGCAAACACATGTTCAAAGATGTTAAGTCATCCCATACCAGCTAAATACAATATATACAAATTTATATATACATTTTGAGTTACTCTTATGAGGTTAACTCTTTTTAGAATGTAACCTCATGTTTTAGTATGGTATAAGAATCTATTACGTTTAAACGAGAAACGAGCAATTCAATTCAACTGAAACTCAAAAAAGTCATTCCATAGGATGTTAAGTCATTCCATACGGAAAGTTCAAAGCTACAAACAAACGTACATAAGAAAAGCTACATATATAATCTCATCAGATAAATTAAATAAAGCTCAGGCCACTGGTCTTGAGATAGCCTGTCGCTTTATTATGTTTGGAATTTGGCTGTATTGGCATCTTTAAGGAATGCCCTTCAGCGCATGTAACTATTATCTTTGTCTCACTGATATATTTTAGAGTTCACCAAAAGAAAAAAAGCTCGGGCATCTGCAGCAGTACACTACTATACCTTGACAGCTTGTCTTCTGGTAATATAATTTGGAGATCCCAAAAGTTTGAAGTTGAACTCCGTGAAAAACTACAGCCAATAACGGAAATATAATAAGATTTCACCCTTTTATCCAAAAAGTGATTTGGCTATTACACATATAATGATATAAAGTTATTAAAAGCCAAAACAAGAACCACACAACATGATTAATAAATAAATAAACATAGTACCCAATTACTGTTTCCAGAAAGAAATTCTGTCACTGTGGATTTATGCCTCGTCATCAGCTCCTGAAATAGATAGGTATAATTTGAAAAAGGTTAATGCCACACTCTACGATAGTCAAATAGGGTATACTGTATGCGAGTCAACTATCTGTGAGATGCTCGAAGTTAGCTTGGGAACTACTCAAGTTTGATTGGCGCACTATTTTTTGGAGTTTAAAGGACGTCGATTCTTTTAGAACTAAAATTGATGGAAATAGAGAATATGATGGTCAAAACACACACTTTAAAAAAAAGGGAGAGAATGATTTTCTGACTTAATAAGTGTAGCATTTCATACAACACACACAATAGAGTTTTGAGAAAATAGGAATGCAAAGGAAGTGACAGTAACAAAATGGAGGATGAAATTGAACTAAAATGAAATGCAAACAAACTGAGAGATTCAACTGAGAGGCCATTCACCCAAGTAGTGGGATCAAGTACACTATTGGAATTAATCCAAATGACAATCTAGTTCAATTCAATACTTTACAGACCTATATATTCCACCTTAAATATTCTAACATAGAACTTCCTTAATAGTTTACTCAAATGAAAATCTGGACCATTTTGAATCGAAACCAGTTGTTCATTAGGTTGGAGTGCATGGGTCTAGTCTCCAGAGAGTGAGTGAGTGAGTGTGTGTGTGAGAGAGAGAGGGGGCACTATACGCAACCTTAAAAGTAGTTGCGGCATCTGCAGCAACATCAAACTCAGGAAGTTGCATGTATCCGAAAAACTTTTTGACGTGCTCGGACTTCAATATATGACTGAAGATAATAACACATAAAAAGGTCAAAGGAGCTTGTTTGCTACAAAGAAAATAAAAAAGATCACAAGGCTAAGAAACCAATAGGGTAGCGAAAGCAAACATGCCTAGCAACAATCTGGTGGCGAATGCACTCCCTCAGCATTGCTCCATAGTGCAAGGCAAGACTTGAATCCTCATATCTATAAAAGCTAGGGTAAGTTTATATATACATAGTGCTTGTTGTATTTAGGTTGCTAACCAGAGGAGTATGAAAAAGCAAAACTATGGGGTAAAAATAACAAGCCTCGAAACCGAATTCAATCTATTAAGTATTAACCATACGCTGTGTTGAGAAGAAACATAAAATACATAGACTAGCTCACCCAGATACCAAATGATCCACAATATCAAGGTTGCCTTCCAAGTAGTCGGAAGCAATCAAGCGTGAGTTAACAGGCTGCCTTTGTAAATTTGCAACAACTTGAGTGGCATCCTTTCGTGCCTAGAAAATCAAACCATCACATGAATGGGAACAAATGGTGAAAAAAGAGGAGCAAATAGAAGTGTAAAGATGATTTATATCTGTATATTGCAATACTATCATCTGGATACAGCAAAAAATAGTGTAATTACAGGATGATTAGTGTTTCCTAACATGAAATAATGCTTTAAGCGGCTCTTACTATCAAGTATGAATTTGAACCGTTACAACATGTTTATACTTACAAAGATAACTCTAATTTAAAAGATGAATAAATCTTAACCGTTCCAAATAATCTTCGAACAAATTGAAGATTAAACTGTTGGAATTAGTAGTTTATACTATTATTGAAAAAAAACTGAACTGATGAAGTGAAGTGATTTAATCGCCAAAATCAGATTTGGGCTAACCAAGTTCCTTTAACATGTGCCAAACAAGATTAGTACCCCATGCATATTTGTGTGTACATGTGAGTGGTTACCTCCAAATTCAATTTGGGGAGACAAAGGACGATGAGACGAAGTGTATCCCCTTTAAAAAACTCCTGAGTCAGCTGGGCACAAGCTTCAGTTGTAGGCTCAGATTCACTGCTTCCATATAGGACTGCTTTCATCTCCCTAATTAGTGTGTCTATTTCAGCCATCTGAATAAGAGAAGACATGGGAAGTGAACATGTGAATTAAATACAGAGCAGAGTAAAATAATGATAGTTAAGATTAAATTACACCCTTGCACCCTCATGGCTCTGCTATAGTACATTCATCATAATCTTAGCATAATAATCTTTTTAAGGTAATACAAATACTACAAAGGCCATAACCTAATACAGAGTATTAAATTATATAACCAAATGTTTGGTATCTCGCTATCTCTTATGATATTAAAGCACACGAAACCACTCTAAGATGAAAACTTAACATAGTATTAGAGTCTACAAAACTAAAAGTAAAGTATGATCCGAATAGGCCTCAACTAAAAAACACAAGCATCAAGATTGATATAACAAGTTATCATCTTAATTATTGAGGACATATCAAACCACCCAATCAAATATGAAAAAAAAAAATCACCACTTAAGATATTGAACTACCCTCCTATTTTATGTTGAGGTTTTTTCAAAAATATTAATGAAATGAAATTTATTTACAAAAAATATGACTAATAATTACGGAGTCCTATAGTATAGGCTCATAGTCACTTACGTGTAAAAATAAAACATAAGTTCCTATGACTAGGTTACTACTATAGTAACTACACTTAAGAGATCATGTTTTTATAAAAAAAACATTTATTTTAGTCATATATATATGTAATTATTTATTTTATGTTTATCCTTTAAAATAGTACGGAGTATAAAAGACGTGATCAAATAAACTTCACTAGCAAACTCTTAAATAAACTCTTTCCATCCCACAATTAAATTCTTATTTTGACATTTTGAATCAAAACTTTGTTAACTTTCGCTGTAGTATTAAAAAATCATACTCTATTATTTATAACGCATAAATAATTTAAGAATGTATTTTAATACGCAGTATATATTATTGAAATGTTAATTTATTATAGCTTTTATAAGTCTCTAATCTTAAATATTAGTGGTCAAATGTTGATTTTAAATAGGTTTAAATATGTTTTTAGTCCTTGCAAATATATTACATTTTGTTTTACATCCATGCAAAAAATTTTTGTTTGTTTTTTGTCCTTGCAATTTATGTTGGTTTTCTTTTTAATCCATCAGTAATGATAGCAACCTCCGTTAGACCTCAAAGTAACCCCGACTAATAGATTTCCTCTCACTCTTTTTCATGTTATTAAAAAAGTATTTAATTTTATTTTAAGTAGGTTTTAATATATATTTTGAAAAAGTTAATACTAAGTTTTAATTTTTTTTAAGTCTCATATTAGCCTCAAAATATTATAAAAAGACAAATCTAAATATTTCTAGTAGATTAATGTAAGTGATACTAACTTTTTTTGTAAGTAGAGAGTAGTTACGGAATTAGAGAAAGACTAAAAAAACAGTACATATTGCAGAGATGGAGACTTCAAACAAAGTGTCTCGGATTAAAAATGTATTGAAACCTTTTAAGTTTTAAATATAGTTAAAGTCGAAATGTGAAATTAAATATGGTAGTAACCACAAAGTGAAGCTATACCCCTCGTCTTATTCAAACTTTCTATATTGACTTCGTAATAATTCATATTGGCAATTAATTTTTAAATAATACAGTACCTCGTAACTCATTATAGACTTTATAGATACCGAGTATATGATGGTAAATAATAGCAGTAGTAGTCAAAGATGCACATTGACCCCGAAATCAAAACGGAAACTTTTCATGTGGACGAAGGCTAAATAATTTATTATATGAATAAAAACAGAAATAATAATGATAAATTAGTAGTTGTGAGATTGAAATAAGCATGACCTACCTTCTGAAAATGTTTAGCCTGGTCGGTGTCGTCAAATGAAAGGAGGGCGTCGAGCATCAAGGTTGTCCGGGAGACAACCTCGGCCGGGGTCCGAGGGCGGCGGGGCTTGGTCTTGAAGAAGGCCCTGACGACGACATTCCCCAGCATCGCCTTATTGAAAGCCTTCTTCAGTTTACCGGAAGATCGTTTGAGGGCCTTGTCATTGTCAGCCTTTCCGACGCCTAGGGCAACGGCGGCGGGTTGGGTGGCCGGCGTCGGCATTGTGGGCGGGCGGCGGAGGTGAGGGGTAAAGGCCGAGCAACGACGAAGACGCCGAGGTTCTCCTAATCTCCCCACACGGTGTTGCACTGGGAAGAGGAGGAGGCGGCGGAGAAGGACGGTGAAAAAGAAGAGATCGCCATCAATTTTAAGTAAGGCATTGGTGGAAGGGTTCGGATCCGATGGTTTGGTGGAAGGGTAGAAATTGAGGACATTATGGAGAGAGAGATGAGGATTTTCTGGTGGCCTCCAAATTTCATACGGAGATACTACGTTCATGGACCTTCATCATCACTCCTGCTCCAACCATTTTTACCCTTCCTTTGCTCCTAAAGTCTCGCGCTTTCTCTAAAGTTCTTTTTCTTTCCGTCATCTAATTATTGTTACTTTTATAAAAGGGAAAGAATGATATTATTGGGTATTATTGAATACTTAATGCTAATGCCTCTTTCGTCCATATTACTTAGCTTGGACGTCGTACCATAACGATTAGGACGTTTGGGTCGTAATAGCATACATTAAACTAGGGTGGGCGTAAAAACCGCACCGAACCGGTACCGAACCGGTCCGTAATGGTACCGAACCGAATATCGGGTATTTAAATGGTTCTATAAAATTTTATCCCGAACCGAAACCGTACCGTTTCAAACGGGTACGGGACCGGTCCTAGATTTTGAGAACCGAAAAATACCAGACCGAACCGTTTAAAAATAATGTCTTTGAAATTTTTAAATATTTTTCCATACCCATAAATATCTTTTATTGACCAACAACTTTATAGCTCAAGTATGTATTCATGGCTTCATGCATTCCTAAAATAGCTAAATGTGTTATATAAATATTATTATTTTTTGCTTTTTATTAATTTATGTTATACGAAGTAATTGATATATAATGCAAGAACGCCAAAGTTAAAAAACATTAATGACTATTAAATTGTAGTAATGTAGTGTATATGACTTTTGTTGTATCATATTTGTGTAGTTTTATAACTTAATTAATATGGTTTGAATCATAGCTCTTACGGCTCGACTATGAACTTTATTATTAGAATTAATATTCAACTTAGAACAAAGAAGAACATTAAATATTTGTATTCTGTTCAATAATTTAACGATATTCTTTTTATACGTTCTCGTGAACTTAATAAAGATGATATTATACGATTTTATATTGCATTTTGCTATATTTTTACTATATTTCTTTCACGGTTTGAATCCTTTTAAATTTAAATACAAAAGTGTCAACCTCTTGAATCTTTTCTAGTATTTAGTATGCACTTTCTTGTATATTTATCAAAATTTCACGTCAATTGGCCCGTGTGATGATATCTACTAATTGCAAAATTTGTTCAAATGTTTTGGCATGTGTTTGGCATTGTACCGAACCGTTTTGTACCGTTCCAAAACGACATGGTACCGAATGGTTCTATTCTTAGAACCGGACCGTACCGAACCGGTAGAAACCTCCCGGATACATTACGGGTTTTGCTAATTTACCGGACCGTTCCGGACCGCGCCCACCCCTACATTAAACCCAATTTCAAAAGACAGGAAATATGTAGCCGGTAACTCAATTGGTCCACTAATGTGAAATTTGGAACAATGATCAGGATCGAAACCCGCATCAACCGTGTGAAGTTTACAGCTCGTACGTACTAGGCTGGAATTCTGATGCGCATGAGTATAAGGCCTACCACTATTGGACCGACTGAGTCATCGTGACTTACTCCTTCATCATTCTGTCGTGACTTACTCCTTCATCATTCTATCAGGTCAAGGATGTGGGGGCTCCTGGGATGGGAGATTCCACCTTTTGGAACAATCGAAAATAATGGAAACATGGGCGTAGTATCAAATACGAGAGGTCTTTAGTTCAAATTTGATGGAAGTAGTTTTAACCGTGTTCATTTAGGGGTGGAGCTATAAAACACTCGGGGGGGGGGGGGGGGGGGGGGGGTTGAAATTCAATTTTATACGGAATGAAAACAGTATATCGTGTTTAGACAATACAAAAAATTGAACATAGTTTAAATCAATGGTATTTCGAATGAGACTAATAGAGTTATATATTTTAGGAAAAATTCACATGAATAATCCGACCTATTTGTGATCTTCTCTTATTAATCCCAAGTATGCATTATTCCAAAATAATCTAAACAATATATGATATCTTCTAAAAATGAGCTCGTGACTTGAACTAAAAACTTCAGCCGGTTACCCTACCATGTGGCGAATTTTAATTGGGCTTGATTAGTTTTCTATTTTCCTTTTATTTCTTTTCCCTTTTTTTCTTTTTTCTTTTCCCCTTTTTCTTTCTTCAATCCTCTTCTATGCAGCTCTGGAGCGACCGATCCCTTTTGATTCTCCAATCTGCTATGCATCAAATTCTTCGTTTCATCCTCACATCTCAAATGTTTCCTTTTCGTATTTTATTTTTTATTTTTTATTTTCTCCTCTTAGTCCCATCTCCTTCTGTTGTTTGTTTTTCCTTTTTTTCCTCATTTTGCTTCATCTTCCTGGTATTGGGCGTAGGAGTGTTTCAGAAGATTGGAAACGCCGGCCCTTCTTTGTTCCATCATCGCCATCAAGGCCGCTGTAGAATTTCAACGGCCGGCTAGCTTTCCTAGCAGCTCTTCGACCACGACGATGACTATCCGTCCGTCTTCATCAACATCATCGTCCATCGGAGTTGTTCTTTGACGTCGGGCCTCCGCCCCATGTCAACTGTTCTTCAGAGCCATCCATCCCTTCATCCCAGCTGGTCCAACCTCCATCGTCTGTGGTCCATCATTCAAGTTTCAACATCGATGAATGGTGTTACAGTTGGATTGTTGAAATTAAACTTTGAAAATTCTGAAATTGAAAGAATTAAGTACAAAATTGAGGTGCAAATTTGAGATCGAAATGGAAGGTGGGGAGGAGATTTACTCTATGCGGTGGAGGGGGGATAGAAAAAGAATAGAAAAGACAATTAAAAAAAGGACAAAGTGAGAGGTCTAGTTGTTAGAAACGAAGGAAGCAAGAATCCTTCAGGTGAAGATGAAGGATCTTCAATTTTTTCTTCTTTAATTGTTTTTACCGGTTCAACAAGTCACAGGTAACCTGGACTAATTTGGGAAGACTGTTGGTATATTTGAGATTATTTTAGAAATATGTATATTTGGGATTAATATTAGAAGATGTCTAATAGTTGGGATTATTCTTGTGAATTTTTCCTATATTTTATATATATTACTCCCTCTGTCGCATAAAATAGTTCTTGCATTGACTTGGATCAGAGTTTACGAAAGTGAGAATAAAGTGAAAATGTATCATTGTGGTTGAATAAGAAAAAGGTAAATGAATGATAGCCACAAAAACTTCCCAAAAAGGAAATGAAAACTATTTTTTGGGATGGCCAACAAAGGAAATCGGGAACTGTTTTGCGGGACGTAGGAGTATAAACTTATTTTATACTGGTTTGATCGAAGGGTTTCCGCACAGGTGGCTATCTTAGATGAGGCTTTTTGTCTTATCTTGAAACTCTATAGTTCCCCTCTCACCCTGTTTAACACTATGATTTCTTACTAGAAAAAGAACCAGCTATTGAGTAAGCACTTTGTATTTTTAAGATAGTTATCGTATTTGCTCTGCCTATGAGTCATGTACTCATGTCACATAAATAGTGAATGAATTATACCTTATTTTTAAAATTTGGAAATGTAACCAATATTACTCATCAAATTTTATTGATATTAAATTTAGATAGTGTTGATTTTCTAGACGTTAAGTTGTAATTTTTTACTCATTATGAGTTATGAGAAGCATAATATATCAAATTTAAGGTATGTCAAAGCTTTATGCTCTCAAATTTTTAGGGGGCAGCTAACCACCCTGACGCTCAGGCTCCGCCCCTATGTTCACTTCTATGCCTTCCACGACCCACGACTCCTCGGGGAAAAAAGTACATTATAGTTATTTGATAAATGTTTCCACTATTTGTCGTAACTAATTAGTGAGTCAAATTATCAAATTGGTAAGAAAATATCTTGGTCTATCAAATTGGTAAAGAAAATATTCAAAGACAAATTGGTAAACAAACACAATTCAGGTGACGAACTAGTAGAAATTCCGTGAATGAGACTCTTTAAGTCCGCGATTATAGACTTTTGGACAATCAATCACTAAATACTGTGAAGTTGACATTTTTAGTTCTTCTATTTTTATTTATCACGAAAAGTGAATGACTTAAAATTTCAATGAAAGTGTTTGACAATCAATGGTTGGCTGTTAGCTTATAACCAATTGAATCAACAAATTGATACTATGGGATTCTATTAGCATTTTAACCAACCACTTTCATTAGCCGTTTGAAGTAAATATTTAGTAACTTAGATGTTTGCGATTAGTTGGAAAAACATAAAATGACTATTAACAATTCAATATGAATTCTCAAGTATGTTAGTATATATATATATACAACTTAACTTTATTTTATTTATATTTTAATAAGTTTTGGAAAAGTTTTACAAATTATATTTACTTTTATTTTATATATAACTACCGGTCTACTGCCGCTATCATTTTTAACACATGTACATGATAGAGTATTAGTTCTAGAGAGAAGTGAGAGCTAGAGAGAGAAGTGAGTAATTATATTTCTCAACCCCCTATAACTAGCCCCTTAGGGTCTATTTATAGGAAAAAATGTGAATTTGGGCTCCTAGCTTTGGGCTTAGGAGGCCCATTACAATAATCATGCCTTCTTTGGGCGAAATAAGGCCACTAATGGGCTGGATACAATACTTATCAAATACATGAGAACATACATCCTGTCAGGCCGAAGGGCGGCCGACGCGGTCTCCTTTTGGGCCGATGCGGTCCCATGGCCGATGCGGTCCACGGGCCGACACGGCCCTTTATAGCCAGGGTGTGATTCCGAGCCGATCAGGTTCCTCGCCGATGCGGGCCCCTCTAGGCCGAAGGGGACCACGCGGGTGTTCTCTTGGTCTTTGTTGACTTGAGTATGTGGGCCATGGGGTCCAGGCCCATATACTCTATCAGTACATTTACAAGAGCACACACATATACATTCATTTATTTTAAATGAAAATTTAGTATTAATATTTTAAATTTGATCATTTTATTAGTGTTTGCGAAAATACTATTCCTGTAGCAAAATAATCATAATCCTAGAATAGTAAAAATATTCATAGTGATTTCATGGGGTAGGATTTTTTATAACTAGTTAATTAAATTCTTAGTTTTCACAATACTTAGAGAATTAAATACAAGAATTCTAAAGTCGATTACTAAAATTGTCTAGCTAATTGCCCATTTGCCCCATTGTTCCTCGGGTAACCGTGGCAGTCCTGATATGAATTAATGATATGAATTCCCCCTTAACTAGCTGCGTTATCCTGTTTTTGTTCAGACTAGTTCAAGGATTTTGGATGTTGGGGAGGGGAAGAGAAAGTGATTCTCACCACTTTCAGAGGACCGAAAGATAAGAGAGGAGAGCTGTGGACGCCACAACTAAATTGATAAGTCACAAAACTTAGCAGAACTCAATATAACACATAAGCTTTGAAAAAAAACTTTCATTTTCATGTGTAAAGATTCTGTCCTGTTTATGTCTCCTGAAATTAGACTCCCGCTTTCCTATATATAGAGTATAAAAGATGGAAACGTGGGGTGAACAAATCAACCCATTTCCAACTAAGATAGCCACTAGCTACAAAAGTGGATCGTGGGTGAATTTTGTGGCTAACTGGCTCTTTAATTTAATTCTAAATTTAACTCTACCCTAAAAGCTCGGTCCAGCTGCACGAGAACAGAAAACAAATAGATAAAAATAAGGGTGATTCTAAATGCAACACATTTTTTCCTAAATGCAGCCTCCTATTTATTAAATATACAATCTTGCCCTTACATAGTAGGCTTGAAAGTGACTTAATTGCAGGCCCGTTGATCACAAAGCAAGCCCACATGCTGAAATTGCAAATTCTGCCATTCCTGCCCAAATTGGCAACTCTAGAGTTTTTCTTTTAATTGATTGGATCAATGAAGCCCACTAAGTGAACCATGGCTCCTTCCATTTAGACTTCAAATATGGAGTTTTTCTACCACCCGACGGAACGTGGCTACAGTCTCACTCCATTTAGGGAGTGTTTTGGTTTGCTTAAAAAAAGCGTTTTTCAACTTTTGATTTAAAAAAAGCTGAAAAGAGTGTTTACAAATGACAACTTCTGCTTAAATTAATTACTTAAAAGCTAAAAGCTGGAAGCAGGTAGAAGAGTGCTTTAAACTGCTTTTCACTTTTTCTATTACACAAAAAGTACTCATTTTACCAAACACTACCAACTTTTACTTTTTCAGAATCACTTTTTTCTCAAACACTACCAACTTTTACTATTAATCACTTTTCCCAAAATCACTTTAAAAAATCATTTTTTTAAAGTTGAAGCAATCGCAAACACTCCCTTAGACTTCTCTATCCAAGCGCAAACAACCTCCTTGTAAGCGCCTAGCACGAGCTATTGTCAATGGACCGTCTTGAACTTGTAAAGGATCCTTGCTTAGGTCTCCTTACAGTTGTAAGCGGTCTATAATGTCCTCATCGTCTCTCTCCCCCTCAAGAGGATTTGTCCTCGAATCAGCTTCACCACCTGCATCAAAGGGAGATAAATGAGCAACATTGAAAGTATCACTGACATTACCATACTCACTTGGCAGCTCGATCTTGTATGCATTGTCATTGATTCGTTCCAGAACTTGAAATGGACCGTCCCCCCTTGGCATAAGCTTGGACTTACGTTGAATAGGGAATCCGTCCTTGCTCATATGTACTCAAACTTTCTCTCCGGGTTTAAAAACAACCCTCTTTCGCCCTTTGATAATTCGGTTGGCCACTTGTTCATTTCTTTTAGATATAGCCAGGCTAACCTTTTCATGCATTTGTTTCACCATTTCAGAAAAAGCGAATATCCCGTAGTGCTATGCAATGTTCTAAAAGATGCTAGACGCTAATCGGGCGCCATCCCAACGACTAGTTGGAGCTAGATATGATAAGTAATATTGTATTCTTATGTGTATAAAATACATATATACACATACATTAATAAACATGAATGATGGAATTATCACATCTAATCATACATAGTATATGATAACTAATCACTTAACATCATCATGTTATAAATATAAATAATAATAAATTTTAGGTACATATATATACAAACATATATAGTCTTTATCTTTATATGCAACTTCATTTCTTTATATCTGTAACTAAAGTTAAAGTACTTACATCGTTTAGAAAAGTAAAATTATAAAGTAAAATAATGTTCGATGAAACTAGACAACCTAGGTTGCCGATTAGGCGCTCTGGGCGGGCAACTAGGCGCCATAGGCGGCTGACTAATTCACCTAGATGGCAAACCAATTAGTCGGAGCGCCTATGCGAAAATCGGGGCGCCCGACCACCGCCTAGCACCGAGGCGGGGACTAGTCGAACGCCTAGAACGATTTTTAGAACAAAAGTGCTATGTATTTGTCTATTATAGGCAAATTCAGCAAATCTGTTTGACTGTTTGAGGATGACTTGTAGTAGAAAATACGCAGTAAAAGCTTCATCCTCAATTTTAACCACAAGGTTTTCGAGAAATAACCGAGGAACTTGAAATCACGATCAGAAACAATGGTTTTTGGCATTCCATGCAATCTAACTATTTCTTTAAAGAAAACATTAGCAATATGGCGTGCATCATATGTCTTATTACAGGGAATAAAATAAGCCATTTTGGAAATCTATCAACTACCACAAATATAGAATCATGTCCAGACTTACTTGGGGGCAGTCCTAGCACAAAGTCCATCGATAGATTTTATCCAAGGATGAATAGAAATAGGCAAATGAAGATACAAACCATTAGGCATACTCCTGTACTTGTCTTGTTTGCTACATGTAATACATCGAGAACAACATGTGTATACGTCATGCTTCCATTTTGGCCAATAAAAATGTTCTTGAAGTATATCACATGTCTTTTGTATCCCAAAAGGTCCCATTAACCCGCCACCATGGGCTTGTTTAACAAGTAATTCACGTAATGAACATTTAGGCACACACAACTTAGCTCCCTTAAAGACATAGCCATCACGCAAGTGATACTGCTCATGTACACCTTTGTCACGAGCAGAATAAATAGCATAGAAATCGTAATCATCAACATAAGAGGTTACGTTTTAATGTGCTCAAATCCTAAAAATCTAGCATGCAAAGTAGTCATAAGAGTATATCTTCGTGACAATGCATCAACAACCACATTTTATTTACCAGTTTTATACTTGATCACATAAGGGTAGGACTCAATAAATTCAATCCATTTAGCATGCCGTTTATTGAGTTTACCTTGACCACACAAATACTTGAGTGATTCATGATCAGTGAGGATTACAAACTCCTTGTGTCTTAGGTAATGCTTCCAGTATTCAAGAGCACGAATCAAGGCATATAGTTCTTTGTCATAGGTGGGATAATCAAGGCAAGCACCATGTAATTTTTCGCTAAAATAAGCTACTGGTTTGCCCCTTGCATTAGAACAGCCCCAATACCCACACCGGATGCATCACGATCTAGCCCGAGAGTAGAATTAAAATTAGGCAGCACAAGAATAGTGATGTGCACAACTTTTATTTTAACAAACTAAAGGCCTACATCCTTTTTTGACAATTTCGGTTAGTGGTGCAACGATTGAGCTAAAGTCCCTAACAAACCTCCTATAGAAACTAGCTAACCCATGAAAACTTCGCACCTCACTAACTGATTTTGGGGTAGGCCATTCTTGAATGGCTTTTATTTTAACACTATCTGCCTTAATTCCTTAGGCACTAACAATATACCCTAGGAAGTTAACGTTCATGGGGCAAAATTCACACTTCTCCATATTAGCATATAGCTTATTCTCAATCAAAACATCAAACAAGGCATGCAAATGATCAACATGCTCCTCCACACTTTTGCTATATACTAATATATCATCAAAGTAGATTCAATTAATTTCCCAAAATATTCTCGTAGAATATGATTCATCAAGCGCATAAACGTGCTAGGTGCATTGGTGAGGCCAAATGGCATCAATAGCCATTCGTAAAGACCTTGCTTAGTCTTAAAAGCTGTTTTCCATTCATCACCCTCACGAATACGTATTTGATGATATCCAGATTTTAGGTCTATGATAAGTCTGTATTTTTGAGACTCAAGAGATTTTAAGGAATAATATTAGAAGAAGAGTGTGAAATGTGATTATATTAATGTTCAGGTCTGGGCGGATTCGTGGTTACCAGACAATGATGGGAGAGTGTCTTCTGATAAACGGCCGGGGATAAGGGATATGAATGTAGCAGCACTCCGTGATATAACAGGGAAAAATTGGAACAAAGCAAGAATCAATAGCTTGTTTAATAAAAAAGATAGGAATAAAATTCTAAGTATTCTGATCAGCGTTTATGATAAGAAAGACGGCTATTGGTGGGTGTGTGAACGAAATATCATTTTTTTAGGTTAAAAGTTGCTATAGACTCCTTATGGGGGATCAACTGACGGGAGGGTGGAACGTTTGGGGTAAGTTATGGGAACTAAAGGGTCCTCCAAAATTCAAGTATTTAGCTTGGCAGGTGTTAGACGGATCGTTGCCTTCAGTGAATAATCTTAGGCAAAAGGGGGTACGTATCAGTGGTGGATGCAAGCTATGCGGGCTGTTACAGGAAGATACAGATCATGCTCTCCGTTTTTGTCCCAAAGTGGAGGAAGTCTGGAAGCTTGTTGGGGCACCGACCGAAGTGCAGCAGATCTCGTTCGAGGAATGGCACTGATGGGGAATTGATTCGCCGGATAAAAACTCCTGTAGCAGGTTTATAGGTCTAACTTGGAGCATATGGAAGAGAAGGAATAATGCTATTTGGAAGGATAAAGACCTTGAGGCGGTTGGGGTGGTGCGCGTGGCAGCGAGCATGTTGGCCTGATGGGTCAATTTTTTCATTTTTTTGGTACCCCGTAAGGTATGAGCAAATCTCTGCACGGTGAAACTTTCTGTCTTCCACCTGTTTCAAATAATATTATTAGTTCGTTATATGACCAAAACAAACTAAAAAAAATATCATCAAATATAATTAAAACTTAACTAACCCTGCTCAGAGTATACTTTAAGCTCACTCCCTCAAACAAGAACATTGTGATCAGCAAGTACACACCACAATCATTACTTTCTCTCTTAATTTTCCAATCAAAGTTGACTTCTTCAAACTCATACTTTGGCATTTGTTTAACCTTTGGGTGCTTTTTCTTGTTCAAGTAGATCGACATCTCTGAGCACTGTTTTGAAATAATTGTTTAAATCGATTATGTTTTTTAGTCCTAAATTAATAATTAAATCAATTAAAAAGAAAATTTAAAAACTTTTACCAGTATTCCAGCTATAAATTTAAGAGGACTGATGTCCTCTTTTATCCTGTAGTCCACCAATTGTGCTTTCTTTGACAGTGTATTTATAAAAAGGGACAGATAGTGGTTGTTGTATAGAAAGAGAATCACAAACTGCAAGTACATCCATAACATTATACAATTTTTATATTTTTGTGATTGATTTTCAATTTTAGCGAAATAATTACTTACAAAATTTGCCTCTGCAATGTTCCACTGTTGATTATTCACAGAACCCATTCTTCCCATACTTTATGTAAAGCAATCCTTGATGCTTTATCAAAGCCCTCTTTCATTATCTTACTCAATATGTCCTACACAAAGATTTTGTATGGTATTAATCTTTACTCCAAGATTTTACCACTCAACATTCTGAATAATTTATGGTACTATTTTAGCAATGCATTATAAGTGTAAAAAATCAAGTATGATTTCTTACTGAATGTGTAATCCCAAAGAAGAATCTTTTCCCCATTTCCTGCTCGGATGTCAGCTCTTCTTCATTCAAATAATATGCCCAGCAGTTCACAATTGCAGCAGTTATAAAGCTTGTTGAACCCAAGCACATCATATCTTCCTTTATTAAATAAAGACTTCCATTGAACCTGACAATGAGTTCACTGGAAAACAAAACAGAAACATACGAACTTATTTCACAGTTTAGGTAACTAATTAATGATTATTTGTAACTTTTTATTAGTATATGTTTTTTATATATGTAAATTACTACAAAATATTTCTTATTAATTCTTACTCTTTTTGCATTCCATCATTGTAAAAACAGTAGTCCACAAGATGTTTATCAAAATCTTTCATTGAGTGCCAACGTCTAGAACACATGTCCTTCATGAACTGAGATAGGAATGTAATGTGTTTTTCATTTGTCGGTTCATTGCTCTCATCTTTGCATGGCTGTTCTTCTTTTTCATTACCACCAGCTTCTTTCTGGATTGGGATTTCCACTTCTCGATGCACAGCAGCATGTTTCTCGGTTGGTTGTTCTGCTTCTTGATTCACAGCAGCATATTTTTCAGTTGGCTGTTGGCCTTCTTCATTCCCAAAAACATCCTTCTCGGTTACAACTACACCATCCTCCATCTCAATGTTTCTGTCAATGTTCTCTTCTTATGTGCTATTCTTGATATCCATAAGCCAATCAACTACAACATCCACAATCTCAAACGTTTTAGGGTCATTAAAAATTTTGTCGAAGCTGTTTGTGGATTGGGAGCTTTGGTTCTGGCTAAGTTGTTCTTGAGTGTCTATCTCTTGCCTTAGAGACATATGAGCCCGGAACACCAGTTCCACATCCCTTTTCACCAGCATCAGAGTTTTACTTTTCTCCTAAACAAATTAAAATAAAAACAGAAAACAATTAATTAATTAATTAATAACTTTTCCCAAAAACCAGATTACTTATTAATAATAAAGGTTAACTTTTAAACAATATATAAGAACTTCTAAATAAATACTCACATCTTTTGCTGTTCTGATAATATCATCATCAGTGGGCATTCCTTCCGGGATATCGTATCTGATGAACCTAGACCAATGTTCTTCCCTGTTGAATACTTCAGTTTGTTTTTGAAGAAGAGTGTTCTGTTTTGAAATCGGGTAGCCAGAATCAATTGGGCCTCTTCCGAAATCACCAGCTTTGATTTCATCTTTTACCCTTGCTTTCATTTTTTCAGAATTCCAATTCTTTATCAACGGCAATGATTTTGGAACCTCAACTCCTTTGAACACTAACCTTTGAAAATACAAAGTCTGAAGAAGCAACAAACATCCTCCCACAAAAGCATTGTCGAAATTTCTTTTGAATCTTTCTACTGCACTGCACAACTTTTTGAGTACATAACCACACCAGTTTAAATCATTGATCTTACCAGCATCTTTTAATGCAACTACCAATTGTAAACTAGCTGTCCTATTAGAGGTTGGTGCCAATAAATGAGAAGCAACAAATAATACAAACAACCTTTTAAATTCATCACCTCCATCCTTCTGTCCTTTTATAGCATCACCTATTTTTCTTAGATTAATACTACCTGCTCCGATCACACCAAACTTTCTTCTCCAGTTCTCCATTACCACCTGCCCTGCAGTTTTTTCTTTTGACTTTTTTTGTATTCCTTACCCATTCTGCTTCAACCACGTCACTTCCAACAACCCAGGGTAATTGAAATACATCATGCACATCAGCTTCTTTGACTACAAATTCCTTCCCAGATCCAATAGTGAACATCAAACTTCCACTATCGAAATTCTTCATTCACCAAGACACCAATCTACCATTTATTTTACTACTTATTCTGCAATTCAGTACACCTTCAAAACCAATGTCCTTGTCATCTTTAACTTGTTTTTCAGACAAATCATCAAATATCTCTATCAAACAGTATGGCCGACATGCTGCTTCCACTTTTTTTTCTTTTTCAGTTCTGTATTTGATTGAAAATACAAAATATATCAGATTTTAAAAAGATATGCTTTTATAATGTAACAGATTTACATATCCAATCATATTAAAATGTATACCTTTTGCCTTTTAACTTTTTGGGATGAGCTTTCCTTTTAGATACAACATTTCTCTTTGTAGGTCGTGAAGTTGATGCAATTTGACTCAAATCACATTTTCTTTTGGATAGGGTCTTCTGTGTAGGCTCAAAATCACTCTTCTCCTCATTTCCCTCAACATTGATATCCTCATCTGTAAAAGCCAAAACAGATTCATTCAAACTTTTATATAAACTACTTTGTACTTTTAATAACTTAGTTTTAACTTTTACTTAGAAGTATTTATCCTATACCCTCACATATCCAGAGCTTTTACAATTACATGTTAAAGGAAATATTGAGCATACATTGTTTTGATTTTCTGAGAATCTATTACAATATAATAGCAAATTGATTTTGCTACAGTGTTCCCGCCTATTCCTCTGATTGACCACACTGAAATAGCATGTGCCCGATTGTACTGGATTGTTGGTTGTTTAAAGGATTGAATTAATTCCCTGGAGTCCTATTCCCAAGAGCACGTGTTTCCATTTCCTTTATTAATTCCCTGTAGTAGTATTCCCATGATCTTCCGTATTCCAGCACATTATTACTTTATTTATTAAATTTACTTTTTGAATAAAGTATCATTCCCACACTTCTGCCTATACCGTTCCTTATAATACTTTTATTTTAATTATCTGCACTAAGGCTCTTCCGTATTTCCATGACACAGCATGACAACTTCCAAAGACATTAAATAATTACATGAAAACTATTATTTCAATCACTCTAGATCACTATATATATACATGCCCATCAACATTTTTGGCATCGTGCTTCTAACAATTCAATATAATTGTGCTGCATCATATCTTTGTTAATCCTTAGCTTCTGTCTTACCAAAATGGTAGGAATTTGGAGCATGATCAGGGACATTGATCAATCAAAAACATCTTGGGCAGTAAAAGTTCGTGCTGTACGCGTTTACAACGTCACCAACACCAAACAGCCGCCAAGCATCGAGTGTATTTTCTGTGATGAAGAAGTGAGCAAGCATTCATTCAGTTCATAATAATGAAGATAATCAAATGATATGCATGAAATTTTTAACATACAACTCTATATTCTTTTTGTTGTTCTGCGTTTTATTCAACTTTTTCTTACTTTTTTATATATTTACTTTTTCAACCTCAATGTTAATCTTCATCAATGTTAAACCACTAATATTAAATACTTTGTTCAAATTCTTTATGATTAAGTTAACGGCTAATATTAAGTTGTTTTTGTGATCAAGTCTAATAGCAAATTGATTATTTTGTACCAGGGATCAAGGGTTCATGCACACATAAAAAAAATACCAGATGCAGCTTTTCAGGGATACTTTTAAGGAGGGTGTGGCATATGCCATACGAAATTTCATGGTTCAAGAGAACTACATGCCATTTCGCACTACTAGAAGCATTTACAAATGGCAGTTTGTCAACAAAACTGAGGCATTTGAACTACACAGAGAGAACATACCTCATTCCATTTTTACTTTTACCTCTTTTGCAGTTCTGCAAGGACAAGATATTGTTGATGAAAATGAAGCACATGGTTTGTTTTTTTTTTGTTTTTTTATTTCTTATATATGTGGTGTTTACATTTTGAATTCTTAGACTAAAATCTTTTGTTTAAAAATTACCACAAATGTTATCGGAAGGGTCAACGGTGATGGATTTATGAAAACGGTAAAAAATGGCACTACAAAAGTGCTGGAAGTACCGCTTGCAGATGAGCAGTAAGTAACATTTTATGACATGCAAGTTCACTGCATTATTGCATTTCATTATTTACATTCAAACTTTATTTTTATTTTTGCAGAAATAATATAATAACATGCAGTCTCTTTGGGGAAATGATTAATCAATATGAATCTTTCAAGAAGAGTTCCATTCACCCTACGATACTGGTGTTGCAATGCTTTCGAGCCAGAAAATACCTAGGTTACATGTTTTATCTATTCATAACACGTATAGATAAAACATTGATTTGACAATGTTATGAAATTGATGGTTAATTCTAAATAAACAGGTGGGATTTATATGTCTAATGTGCATGATGTCAGCAAACTCATAGTTAATGGAGACCATCAAGAAGTAGTGGAATTTCGGGAAAGGTATGTTATGCATCATAATATATATATATATATATATATATATATATATATATATATATATATATACCCAATTTACACAACTTATACAAACACACACACATAAAACACTATGAAAACCAGTGCTCAAGTTAATTCCCTTAACTATGTCAGGGACTAAGTAAACCAGTGCTAAAAGTTAGATCCCTGACTTCATATACACTGTGTAAAACACTACTAAATGTGATAAGTTGAATGTGTTCAAGTTTAATCTTTCAGAAAATAAATTCCTTAGAATCAGTTAAATGGTTATCAAACTAATAATTGAAATCGAATTCATTTTTTCATTGTTACTTAACAGGTTACCTCCCCCCCCTCCCGGTCAAGTTTTTTCTACTCCAACTATCACATACTCATCACAATCCACTGCTAATGACATCAGTAATGGCAATGTCAGATTGGAAAGTATTGAGGACTTGCTCAAAATTGAAGAGGTACTAATAAATAAAATACAGTATTCTATCAAATTAATACTAACTGTTAAATTTGTATTTAGGATGGTAGGTACTGGACATTGGTAGAAATAGTTGCCTTTGACAACTATAAAGAGTGGAGTTACATATCGTGTAAAAGCTGTAGTCGCAAGGTTAAACCAAGGGGTGATGGTTTCTATTGTAGTGATTGTGATTCTACTGATGTCGTTCTTAGGTACATTTTTTTTTCACATAATGTTAAGTGCTTATTTTAATAACGAGTTAAATCATACTATAACAACTGAAATTCATATTTAGGTATAAGATTGATCTCAGAGTTATGGACCACTCAAGTAATACTACTTTTGTTTTGTGGGATAAACAATGCACGCAATTAATCGGTAAAACAGCACCCACACTCCAGAGAAACAGAGGGGTATGACCTTATCCTATTGAGCACAGTAGAGCAAATTTTCCACACTGCACCCACACTCATAAGTGTCACTTTTGTGAATTCACAGAACAGTGATGGTGACCAGTACCTGCAAAACAATTTAAATATCATTAAAATGGGCAAACTTGGTGAATTTCTTAAAAATTTCAAACAGGGGCAGATTATAAGTTTAAACAGCTCAAATAAAAAGTTCATTGTTATTTGAATACAAAAAATGATATATTGAATTAACTGCCAAGATTCAAGACTTAATGTATTTTTTCAATTGAACTTCTTGCCCATTGACAGATTTGGTGAACTTAACAATTGAAACAGGGGACAGATTATAAGTTTATCAGTTATTAAAATCTGTGTTCAAAATCTGTTTTTTGCTACATTATAAACTATTCAAATCAAATTATCATTGTTATATGAAAATAAAAAATTTAGACGAAAATTCTTAATTAAGAAATACGGAGTGAATCATATAAAATCATAAACTGATATGCTATTTTAATGTAAATTTAAAATCTCTCATCTTTACACATCAAAGATTTGTAAATAGAAATGAAAATATAATAAAAGTTATATTTACTCATCTCTGTATATCGATGGCTGAAAGTTACTCCGGAATGATCTTCATCATGGATCTCTCAACCTCTGTTTTCCTTTATTGTCAACGTCACTGTTTCAAAACAGTAAGAAGTGTTAAAATATGTAAAATACATCACATAATATTAAATATATATATATATATATAGGGAAATTCTATGGTACCCTCCTAAATAAACTATGTACGGGTACCCATGATATTTAGCCAATCACATTGTACTATTAGGCCACGTTAACATCGTAGTAATCTGTTTTATTATTTTCATTTTAGTCCCTAGTAAAGCAGTTAACAAGTAAACGGCTTGCTTTGACTGCTAAGAAACAGTTTCAGATTCCCCATCTTTCCACCTTTCTCTTAGTTAGTGCTAGAGATGGCAATTTCGACCGACCCGTTGGATACCCGCACCGAACCGATTTGGTCAAACTGGGGAAAACCGGTTTGACTGGGGAATGGGTACGGGGCGGGGAATACCCGAATTTTTTAAATGGTTAATGGTGCGGTTATGGTTCTATACTAATCCACCCCGTTATCCGCCCCGAAACCGCCCCGTTCACTAGTGGTGCGGGTACCCGCACCGTTACCCGATCGATAACATTATTAATAAATTATAACTTTTTATATATAAGAATAATAACTATATATGCTAAATTGTGTATAATAAATAGTATATATCATACAAATAATGCTAAAAAGTATACTACTTTTTAGGCCTAAACCTGTTTTTGAAATTTGGATTCTGGGATGATTACTACTTTTTTATTATGTTACAAGAGATATTGGGTGCATGTCATACTAATGAATTTAGGTCAGTCTGCTTGATTGCTTAAATGTTTATTTTTGTATGTTTTAGGGTGCTTTGAATATATAAATAACAAGTAGGATTAAAAATTGGTTATTTGTTTTCCCAAAAAAAGTTGATTATTTGGTATCATTTGGGGAAACGGTTACCCGTGGATAAACCGATTCCCCATTGGGGCGGGTGCGGTTCAAATAAAAATTACCCGAATGGGTAATTGGGCGATTTTGGGGCAAACATTTATCCAACGGGGCGGTTCCGGTTTTATGTGTACCCGCCCCGATCCGCCCCGTTGCCATCACTAGTTAGTGCTAGGGTTGTATACGAATCGAATCGAGTCGAATAGTAGGATTTTGTATTTGTATTTGTTTAATTTTTTCGAATACGAATTCGAATTCAAATATGAAACGAATATTAATTCCGATTTGTATTTGTATTTGTTTAACAATACGAATAGTTAACGAATCTTATACGAATATCGAATAGATTTGAGCATAGGTTAAATATTAGTGAAATATCACTTAAAATTAAATTTTCTTATATTTTTTTATGCTGTAAAGTATGCTATGATTGAATATGTGTTTTTAGAATTTAAATTCAATGGATCAATGCATTTTTAGATTGTGCACGATATACTAAAGTGAATCAATTTTATGATTAATAAATATAAATCTATTTCAATCTCTTTGAAAAACACTAACACACACATATTAGAAATTACACTTACAATGTGTGAAATAAGTTGATAATTGTGATAATTGTATATATCAAAGTCAGACGACTCTAATTTTATTCTTCGAATCGAATACATAATTATTTGTATTGTATTTGAAAGACATTTGAACCAAAAATTCGATTTGTATTTGTATTTATACTCTGATTTATTACAAATGAACTTAGAATCTGTATGCGTAAATGTACACATGAACTACACTTTAGGGTATTGCTATCTTTTAAAAGTTATTATAGTGTTATTATTATTATTATTAATATTATCACTATTATTAATCGAATATATTTGATTAATATTCGAATCGAATACAATGATATTCTTATTTGTATTTGATAACAAATCGAATCAAATTTAATATTCATATTTGTATTTGTATTTGAATTTTTCGAATTCGAATCATCTTATACGAATTCGAATCGCGAATCGAGCACAAATTATTTGATTCGTTTACAACCCTAGTTAGTGCCTTGTTTGTTAAAAAGAGATGAAAAGATGCAGCAAAAAGCCAAAAACCACATAAGAAAGTTGATATTTTGACAGATGTTTGATTGGTCTGATTTAGTAAAAATTCAGGACCCAGTAATTCATTAGTGATTTACTGATATGATTCCCGGCCCTTCTGTATTAGCAACGTTTTTGGGTTTCATTGGCCTGGCTTCTTGGGGGATCTTACGGGAATGACATTAACAATTGACAAAAATTTCAGTGTTTCATTTGTTAACTCTTGTTTTATTAGGGACTAAAATGCAAATAATAAAAATTGGTCTGCTTATATGACTAAGGGGGTGTTTGGAACTGATTCTGCTTCTGCTTCTTTTTTAAAAGCAGAAGCAGAATCAGAATCAGTTTTCAGAAGCTGGTACCCCCCCAACTTCTAAAAAAACTGATTCTGAGAGTAAATTAGAGCTCCAGAAGTGCTTCTGGAATTTCACCCAAACACTCCAGCTTCTGCTTCTACTCCATGAAGGAGCAGAATCAGTTTTGAGAATCAGATCCAAACACCCCCTAATATGCTAACGTGGCTTCATATTATAATGTGATTGGCTAAAAATGTTGATGTACCGGTACATGGTCTATTTTAGAAGGTACCGTAGAAGTACCCATATATATATATAGATGAAACTTCATGTCAGGCCGGCCTGACGGGCTGCCCCGTCCGGCCGAGCCCGTTTGGGCACCTTCCCGGTGGAATTTTTTGATGAAATTTTTTGAGCATGTTCCTCGTCAAGTCTAGTTTGTCCATACCAAATTTCAGATCAAAATTCGATCGGGAAGGTCGTCAAATGATTTTTGCAAGTTAACTGGTCCGGAAAATACATATTCCAGACCAGTTAAGTTGCAAAAATCATTTGACGACCTTCCCGATCGAATTTTGAGCTGAAATTTGGTATGGACAAACTAGACTTGATGAGGAACATGCTCAAAAAATTTCATCAAAAAATTCCACCGGGAAGGTGCCCAAATGGGCTCGGCCGGACGGAGCATCCCGTCAGGCCGGCCTGATGAGAAGAGCACTCTATATATATATATATATATATATATATATATATATATATATATATATATATATATATATATATATATATATATATATATATATATATATATACATTTTCAGTCATGGAATCGGATATTTACAATTTTTTTATTTTATTTCAACTTATTGTATATTCCTTACCCGAAAATTGTGGTCATCCATTAGAGGTCAGATAACTGAACAAATCTGAGTTTGAAAATGTGATTAGTTCGAATAGTGCCCCATGTAGTTGTAAAATGTGATTACAAGAAAGTAATAATAAAGAAATGAAGAATTAGGCAATTTGAAAACTGAGTATAATAAAGAAATTTAAAAGTAAGTGAATCACAAGCACTTACTTTGATGATATATATCGGATTAATCTTGAGATCGCACTTAAACTGCTCGCTGCGTGTGACGGAGGTGTTGCAAAGGCCACCGTCATTCTTGGATCTGTCATTGATGGTGCTGGGCTATGATGTGTGGATGGTATGCCTTCATTCGCTGAACTAAACAGTGGGGTTTAACTTTCAATATCTGTCAAAAACAGTTCCCGGCGGCGAGCACAAAGGATGCGGTTGTGTTCCACAAGCCACCGCCGCCTACGATTCACTACGGAATAAGGATCGAGAATTGTAAGGTGAAGATGAACCGTCTGCAGTTTGTAACCTAGGAGATTTGAGTATAAGGTTTTGAAAGTCACCTTGGGCCAGTGAATCTGAGTTGGGCTAATATTTCTTCGATTTGGGCTTAGGTTGTTTGGCAACACTGTTTTTCGGCTTATCAGGCTTATCAGCCAATTTTTTACCAAACACATAACTTTTGCTTTCGCATAAAAAATTATGTAATAAGCAGAAAAAGTAAGGTTGGAGTTACTTTTTTGGCTGTATTGGCTGGAGTTACTGTAGATGACCATTTTAGCTATTTTTACATATATTTTTTTCTTTATTTTATTAATAAAATATATTTTAATTTTTTTTTTCTTAAATCAACAGAATCAGCCAATGCAGCCACTTCAGCCAGAACTTCATACATTAAGGAAAAAATATGTAAGGAAAAAAATCTAACTGAAGTGTCTGGCTGAAGTGTCTGCATTGGCTGATTCTGCTGATTTAAGGGATGAAATCTAACTGCCCGAAAATATATATATTAAAAAGTATATTTTCACTAAAGTATTCGTAAAAATTTGAGTAGATAAAATATTCATAAATATTTATAAAATATATGTCTTCATAAAATTTTCAAACGTTTAACAAAGTACTTTGAGTAGATAAAATATTCGTAAAAATATTATATTGTAATAGATTTTCACTAAAAATATATGGTTGATCAAAGTCTTAAGAAATGACAAAGTTTTTTTGACACGGAGATATTACGTCTGTAGAACATGAATTTTGTTAAATAACTTATGATGACATGGTATGTATTTGTATCCCTTTTTACACAATTTAAATAGAGATTATACCAAACATTAAAATTATAAAGAGCAATATAAACTTAGATTTTTTTTTAACATTTCTCTGATTTGCAATAGCATACAATGAAATTATGTGTTCCCGCATATTACTAGACATTTGTACTAACTACATACATTGTGTAAAATGCAGAAAACGTGGATTGTGATAATGACAAGCAGCGAAGAATTCATCACACTTTTCGCTATGAGTCTAGAATTGGAAATTCTTTTGCTATTGGAAATAGTTTTGTTGATGTGAATGCAACACGATATAATACTCCATTGTCTAATATTACAAATGGTAAAGTATCTTATATTTACCACATTTATATTTATTTTAAAAAATATACTCACTAGGTTCAATTATTAGGAAATTCACGCCATCAACCAGCAGGAAATCTACGATGTTTGGACATCGGTACACAGTCCTTAACAAACAATTGTATTGCGACAAGTACTCATGTAAGAGCTTTTACAAATAATGATAAACAAAGAAAAACCATTCGATCGCATACCAGTGAGGAAGGATCTGGAAGAGACAATGAGCACTCATTGCTGAATGAATCTGATTCTGGTGAAGAGAGTAATGATGATGATTTTATAGAATATGAAGAACTTGCAAGTATATTGAACGATGCTTCTAGAGGTTCGATATTTTAAAAAAGTTGAATAGTTATGTTTTAAATAATGAATAATAAATTTTATCATAAAAGATTTTATTTATGTGTGTGTGACAGAGTATTGGGATATCGGTGATCAAATATGCAAGTGTACATCTTGTGGTGCACAGTTTTGGATGGAAGAACGAGTTGTTAATTCTACTAAGAAGAGTCCAAAATATTCTCTTTGTTGCATGCATGATAAGGTCAAGATTGCATCCATGAAACAGCCACCGGCTCAGTTGTATGATTTGATCCACGGCACAGATCAAAAGAGCAAACACTTCCTTGAAAATATTAGGTCTTATAACAGCATGTTTGCTTTCACTTCCATGGGAGGGAGGATAGAGAATAATTTGAATAGGCCGGGAAGATGTCCTCCTATTTTTAAGCTCCATGGTCAAAATTATCATCTCATTGGAAGCTTACTGCCTACGGAGGGCTCAAAGCCGAAGTTTGCCCAATTGTACATTTATGATACGGAAAATGAGTTAGATAATAGAATTTCATCTGTGAGGTATTATTTTTATGGTTTACATTACGAGAGAACTTGGGTTATCATATTGATTTGTTATATAAATTGAAAAACATTTCATTGTTATTTTTAGGGGAGACAATGACAAGAGTCAATTGGATGTTGATATTGTTCAGCGATTAAAGAACATGCTTAACGAGTGCAATGTTTTGGTTAAAAGCTTTCGAATGGCAAGAGAGAGGATCAATCAAGACGATACAAGCAACGTGCGATTGAAGTTGATCGGTCGGCGTTCTGGTGATGCTAGGACATATAATCTGCCCTCTGTTTCTGAGGTGGCTGCTTTAGTAGTTGGAGATTTCGATGAATCTTTAGGAGAAAGAGATATTTTGGTAGAAACAAAGACGGGGAGATTGCAAAGAATTAATGAGCTTCACCCGGCATATTTTGGACTACAATATCCTTTATTGTTTCCATATGGTGAAGATGGTTACAGGGAAGATATCCCATTAGGTAACTCAAATACCGCTATGGGTGCTGGTAGAAAATGTGTGAGCATAAGAGAGTTCTTAGCATATCGTCTGCAGCAGAGAGATTCTAATATGTCGTGTATTCTGAATACAAAACGCCTTTTGCAACAGTTTATTGTTGATGGGTATACAATGGTTGAATCTGCCAGATTGAAATATGTGAAGAATAATCAGCAACAATTACGTTGTGAAATGTATAAGGGTTTGAATGACGCGTTTCTTAGGGGAGAAAATGATGCACGCACTCAAGGCAAGAGGATTGTTCTGCCTCCATCTTTTACAGGTGGAGCACGTTTTATGATTCAAAATTATCAGGACGCCATGGCTATTTGTAGATGGGCAGGATATCCGGATTTGTTTATAACATTTACTTGCAACCCAAAGTGGCCTGAAATAACTCGATTCTTAAATCAACACAATTTAAAACCAGAAGATCGACCGGACATAGTTAGTCGTGTATTCAAAATAAAGCTTGATTCTCTGATAAAAGATTTTCGGCGAAATAAAATTTTTGGAGGCGTTCAAGCAGGTATAATGTTACAATGTTATATATTTACCACTTTTGGTGTTTTTTTATGGTAACTGATATGTTTATCTTTATTTAATGTAGTTGTTTATACAATTGAATTCCAAAAAAGAGGTCTGCCACACGCTCATATTCTCTTATTCTTGGAAAACCAGTCCAAATTTCCGACAATAAGTGACGTAGATAACATTATCTCAGCTGAAATCCCTGATGTTCATTCTGATCCCCACTATTATGAAGCTGTCAAAGATCTAATGATGCATGGTCCATGTGGCCCGTTAGTGAGTTATTCACCTTGCATGGTTAATGGAAAGTGCACGAAACATTTTCCCAAAAAATGGTGTGCTGATACTACGGTGGATGATTCTGGATATCCCGTTTATCGGCGTAGATATGATGGACGAACCATTGTAAAGAATGATGTTGTTTTGGACAACAGATATGTTGTACCACACAACCGTTTTTTACTAATGAAGTATCGTGCTCATATGAATGTTGAATGGTGTAATCAGTCTCGATCGATAAAGTATTTATTTAAATATATAAATAAAGGTCGTGATCGAGTTACGGCTGGCTTTTTCAGCAACGTCAATGCCGATGGGGTAAACAAAGAAGTAGATGAGATCAAGATGTATTATGATTGTAGATATGTGTCTCCATGTGAAGCTTCATGGTGCATATTTAGTTTTGAAATACAATATAAAAATCCATCCGTCGAGCGACTTAGCTTTCACTTCCATGAAGAGCAACCTATTCTTTTTTCTGATGGCGACCAATTGGATAAAGTTCTTGATCGAAAAAGTGTGAAGGATAGCATGTTTTTAGCTTGGATGGAAGCGAATAAGAAGTACCCTGAAGCAAGATCGCTGACATATGCTGAATTCCCACAGAAGTTTGTTTGGAAACAAAAAACCAGGGAATGGTGTCCAAGAAAGATGGCATTTGCTATTGGACGAATTTATTATGTTCCACCGGGAAGTGGCGAGTCGTATTATTTACGTTGTCTTCTCAATCACATTCGTGGAGCGACATCATTTGAAGATCTCAGAACAGTTCAAAGTGTGATATACAACACTTACCGTGAAGCATGCTATGCCATGGGATTGTTGGACGATGATAAAGAATATATTGATGGCATCCATGAGGCAAGTCATTGGGCATCTGCAGTTTCTCTGAGGATATTGTTTGCAATTTTATTGTTGTCCGAATCATTGAGCAGACCGGACAAGGTGTGGGACAAAGTATGGAAATACTTGGCAGAAGACATCCAGTATAGGCAGCGCCTACTATATCAACATCCAGGTAGGATATTTCAATTTATGAATACATCTTTAATTTTTTATTATTTTATTCACATGTATTTTGAATAAATCACAAAAACTTTCTAATTTTGTCTATAATACATTTTTAGATTTGGTGTTGACCGATGAACAATTGAAAAAGTTTGCTTTGGTTGAGATTGAATATTTATTACAGAGTCGTGGCAAAAGTCTTCGCAATTTTCCTCCAATGCCAGTTCCTCCTCCGGACTCCATGCAATTTAATGTGAATAGGCTCATAGAAGAAGAAATGCAATATGACCGTGAAGCTTTGGCTGAGGAGCACAAGTCTTTGTTTCAAAATCTAACGGAAGAACAACGCAAAGTTTATGATGAAGTTACGGTAGCTATTGATAAACGACTTGGAGGCGTTTTCTTTGTTTATGGATTCGGAGGCACTGGAAAGACATTTGTGTGGAGGACTCTCTCTGCTGCTATACGTTCTAAAGGAGAAATTGTATTGAATGTGGCTTCAAGTGGTATTGCGTCTTTATTGCTGCCCGGCGGTCGAACTGCACATTCTCGATTCGCTATCCCACTTTCCTTGAATGAAGATTCAACGTGCAACATTAAACAGGGTAGCCCCATAGCACAACTTATTGTGAGATCTAATCTCATCATTTGGGACGAGGCCCCCATGCTTCATAAATATTGCTTTGAAGCTCTTGATCGAAGCATGCGTGACATAATGCGTTTCTCATGTAGAGACAGTCTATCAAAACCGTTTGGAGGTAAAGTCGTCGTTTTCGGTGGAGATTTTCGACAGATTTTGCCTGTCATTCCACAAGGCAGTCGCCAGGATATTGTATATGCTACGATTAATGCTTCTTACCTGTGGGGTCATTGTGAAGTATTGAGATTGACCAAGAACATGAGATTGGAAGACCCAAGTCAAGCTGTAGATCGTGAAGCAATAAAGGAGTTCTCGGAATGGATAGCTTCTATTGGCGATGGTTTGGCCGGAGATCCTAATGACGGCTCTGTTTTGATTGAAATTCCTGAAGATCTTCTTCTACCGACTTTAGGAAATCCCATTTCCACTATTGTTGAGAGTACTTATCCTGAATATCCAGATGCTTCTCAAGACTTAAGCTACTTCAGAGAAAGAGCTATTTTAGCACCCACTTTAAGCGTTGTGGATGAGATCAATGATTACATGGTTTCGCTTAATTGTTCTGAGCCATCTAGAACATATTTGAGTTCAGATAGTATATGCAAGTCCGATTCAGATGTTGATTTACTTGCAGATTTGCATACTCCTGAATTTTTAAATAAAATTCGCCTTTCTGGTGTGATGCTTTTGCGAAAGTGGGCACTCCTGTGATGCTTTTGCGAAACATAGATCATTCTATGGGATTGTGTAATGGTACTAGGCTCATTATCACAAAGCTCGGTGACCATATTTTGGAAGCCAAAGTTATCACTGGCAAAAGTATGGGTGGACATGTTCTCATTCCAAGATTATCACTTACTCCTTCAGATGTTAGACTTCCATTCAAATTCCAGAGAAGACAGTTTCCGATAATGGTTGCTTATGCAATGACTATTAATAAAAGTCAAGGTCAGTCTCTCTCTCATGTGGGGTTGTTGTTGAAGAAGCCAGTATTCTCTCATGGCCAGCTTTATGTTGCGATTTCCAGAGTTACCAATAGGAAAGGGCTGAAAATTTTGTTGTTAGATGGTGACGAACAAAGCACAACACACACTACAAATGTTGTCTACAAAGAAGTTTTTCAAAATCTGTAGAACTGATGTTTATTATTCAAATGTAATTCTCCAAATTCATGCAATGATTTTTTTTGAGAATGTTTATTTAATCATATGTATTTAAGCTTTTTGCCGTGCATCGCACGGGTGAGCTACTAGTTACTTTTAAAAGAGAACATACCATACCTTCTTCATTATTTAAAGCTTCTTCATTTGCCTTGGAAATGTTCTCCTCATCTTTAAGAAGTCAAAAAACAAATATTCAAACTTCTATCTTAATACATACAACTTTTAATGATACAATATTAACTTTTAATTCAAAGTATTTATCCTACACTCTTAACTATCCAGAGTTTTATAATTACATATTAAAGAAAATATTTTGTATACCTATTTTTCATTTTGTTAGAATTACTTTTAAAACTAATAATAACATACCATCTTCATTAGTTGAAGCTTCCTCACTTTCCTTTGAATGGTTCTCCTCAACTTTAAGAAGTCAAAAAACATATATTAAAAATTCTATCTTAATACATACAACTTCTAACAATATAATATCAACTTTTAATTAGATGTATTAATTACATAATCATTGGCCATAACATACATGTTATCATTTGCTGGAAGTATTTTCATATTATTTTAAAACAAAAAATAAGATACCTTCTTCATTCCTTGTAGCCTCCTCATTTCCCTCGACATTGTTATCCTCATCTATAAAAGCCAAAGAACAATCATTCAAACTTTTACATAAATAACTTGTACTTTTAATAATCTATTTTAACTTTTAATTAGCAATGTTTATTCTATACTGTTAACTATCCAAAACATACCTTCTTCACTACTTGAAGCTTCTTCACTTTTATTAGAATTGTTCTCCTCATCTTTAAGAAGACAAAAATCAAATATTCAAAGTTATATCTTAATAGATACAATTGTTGACTATATGTCGTTAACTTTTAATTACACACATTCATTATATACTTTTCATTGTGCACAATTCTTATAATTCCATATTTAGGGAAATACTTTCAAAACACAAAATAAGATACCTTCTTCTTTACTTGAGGCCTCCTCAGTTCCCTCAACATTGTTATGGTCATCTATAAAAGTGAAAACAGATTCGTTCAAACTTTTATATAAACTACTTGAACTATTAATAAAATAATCATAACTTTTAATAACAAGCGTTACATTCTATACCCTTCAATACCCACAGTTTTTGTAATTACATGTTAAAGGGAATATTTTCGTAATATTTACACACAAATTATTTTCAAAACACAAAATAAGATACCTTCTTCTTTACTTGAGGCCTCCTCAGTTCCCTCAACATTGTTTTGCTCATCTATAAAAGTGAAAACAGATTCGTTCAAACTTTTTTTATAACTACTTGAACTATTAATAAAATAATCATAAGTTTTAGTAACTTATAGCATATACCTTGTTCTATTACTACATTAGACACATCAGGGTTTTCAGTAATATGTTTTTGCATATTATTCTCACTCTGCTTCTCCTTTTGTGTTCCTGACCTTGTTCTATAAAACTTTTTCTGAATTGTTGACCAATTTGATTTCCCGTCTGCAATCCCTTGCATTTTTATTACAAATTTCATTACTTCATAACCAATTTTCATATCTTAAAGTAATTATCAATCACATACATTAATTTAAATTTAAAATAACCTTGTAGAAGAGGAATATTAACTTCAGCAGTAGTCTCCAAATTACATTTGCTACCTTCCTCTGCAATGAGTTCCAGCTTTTTGTTTGCCTTGGAACGTGGCAGCTTCAATCTCCCCATTTGAGATACTAAATAAATTTAAGTCATCATAACTTTCAATCAGTAACTTCTAATACTTATAATATTAGAAATTACAAATCAAGTCAAACATCAATACTTTTCAAAAGAGCATATGATTTCTTCAAACTTTAAATAAACACCGCAATAAACATGAACTAAACATGAAATAAACACGAAAAAATGTATTTCAAACTTCAAACCTATGTTGTAAAAACCGGACCGGTGAGCGACCCGGTCATGTGATTGGGTCACGGGTCAACCCGGTCAAAGCCGGAAAACCGGTCAACGATTATACATCTATATAATAATAATAAACATATAATTTTTATTTGTATGTTTATCTTTTTAGGGAATTGGAATTGCAATTTTATTGGTTTAAAAAATGCATTAAAATTAAAAAAGAAACCACTTTTTTTTTGGAAAAGACCGAAAACCGAGTTTTCCCGGGTTTTTTGGGTTTTTTGGGTTAGGTCCGGATCGGATTTTTTCGGGTCAGCCGGGTTTTTTCCGGTTTTTGACCATTTTCGGGTTTTGAAGAAACCGAACCGGATTTTTGTCCGGGTCAACCGGGTCGGGTCGGGTCGGTTTTTTAAACATAGCTTCAAACATGAGAAATTTCAATAATAATGTCAAACGTGAGAAATTTCAATGATAATGCAGAAGTTAGGTCAAATTGTATACGCTCGAAAGCAACATACCTTCGAGAAAACCTAGCTAGCCCTGTCTTCTAGATTTTAAGGTTTTGCAGTTCGCCGTTGTTGCAATTTGTCGTAGGTATTGGCGTTCCTCGCTGTGGTATTGAACCTCTCGCCACTGCCTTTGTTTCGCGATTGAAGTTCGTAGAAGATGCAATTACCGTCGTTGGCTATTGAACTTCGTAGAACATGGCGATTAGAAAATGCTTGTTGCAGTTGCAGAGGAGTTTATTCGCGTAGTTATGTTCCCGACAGTCGATAAACGAACTTTGAATGTTGGGCCGTTTCTTAATTTAAAATTGGACCATTGATTACCTTTTAATCAGACGGTGCTGACAGCTTCTCATTTTTCATCCGTATGGAGCTTCTCACCAGATTCATTCTCTCTCTCTCTCTATATATATATATATATAGAGAAAAGATCCTGTGAGAAGTAAGGTTTAAACTGAAAAGTGAGAACTGCTCTCCACCGTAGGAGAGTTTGCTTGAACTAGAGGACATGGAAAAAGGTTAGTTTATTCTTCTTTATGTATAGTGAAATATGAATGTTAATCTGATTTTATCTTTTTTATTTAATAATAATAGGTATGAAAAGCTTGGCTTTGGAGCAGCCCGTGATTGAAATTGAAGATACGGTTTCACTTGTTGAAGAGACCTGGTTGAATGAGCCAGGTATATTGAAGCAGTATCTATTTGAAAATGTTTTAGTTTTAATTTGATGAAGGTAGCTTTTGCCTTTAGATGTCCTTTTCTCGGTAGCTTGTCTCAGTAGTTGTCCTAAAAAGTATGTTCTCAGATCTGGATGTTGCAAATATTTTCCCTTTACTCCTAATAGATCATTGTCTACTTTTTAAAACAGAATAGTTAACTACTATAATACATCGTGGCATTTTTTGGTTGGTGATTCTATATGGCCGTTAACACCAAACTGGTGAAAGGTTTTTGGTTCTCATACTACACTGCTTTTAATAATTTGCATGGTCG